CGATAACGAGGGTAATTTGATAGTTGAAGAACGGGCTGTAGAGACCTTGGATGACGCATCTGACTATGAACATGACTTTCAAAGGTTGGGCTCCGGGGACAAGATAATTGCACAACAGCTGCAAGCGACAAGGATATCTACGAGGCGGTGATGGAGACAAAGGTGGCACGAATCGAGCAAGGGCGATGGTGATGAGGTCAGCAACGGGAATAATGACTGCGACGAACCTCCAACGCAGAAGGAAGCACTCCGGGCGATGATGGTCTTGTGCAAGTATGCCAACGAGATGGATGATCCACTTGCACGTAAGGTAGAGGCGGTACTGGGTTCATTCGGGCGGATGACACGGGTCCATAAGATGAAGAGTATGAAGGACAGAAAATTGACTAGTTATTTTACTCGTAAATAGTAGAGGGGTACTACACTTATTCGCACATAATGGCTCTGCCGTAAAGGTCGACCTCCCCAACAACGCATACTCCCTCATAACGCATACCTTTAGGCCTATCCCGACGGGTATGCGTTAGGAGGGAGTCGACTGTATACCACTTCGCAGCCTGTTACTTTGACAGCGACGGCTATTTCGCCCTCGATCGGACCACCATGCCACCAATGAGTAGTCACTAGCATCGGGAACTCATAAGCGCTGAATCAGTGCTGAACCAGTGCTGAATAAGCCCGCTAAGCGTCGCTTTCCCTTTTCAGAGTCGCTTACGGGCATTCTGGCCAATGAGAGACTTGCAAAACTGTCGTGGATGAGTACGTTATTTTTGCGCTCTCCAGATGGCCTAGCAGCATGAGCATATTTCCTGGTGCCGTTACTGCTCTTGTGGTCGCTGCAGGTCTCTAAGTACATACTTGGACCTCTTGGACGTTCTTGTCAGAGCAACCAATCTTGTTCGATAGTAGATACCGATTTGGTGGGATGCCCGGAACCCGACAAAATATTCGGGTCGATCGCCAGATTCGCCACAGCTTGATCGCGTTCAAAGGCCGCGACGCTTGCCCGGGACGTTGAAACGGTTGCACGCTTGTCCCTACTATTCACGTCTATCGGCTAGTCAAAGTTTCTCTTGTGATTCGCTTTTTTATTTCTCCTTGGCCTGGCCTTTGAAAGCAAGGGTTGCTTCTTCGCTATTGGCCCGCCGTCGGACACCACAAACCAGCAACGTTTGCATTGCCAAGCCTCGAAAAAAAGTCCAATTTGACTGCTGCTCGTTCTCTCCTGCTCGTGGTTAACGCCTCGATGAATGGCAAGTGGGTACAGCTGAAACGAGTACCGACACCCTTGGCACTCCTAGTGGGATTATTACTCGGGCTGCTCATCGGCCGTTCATTGCCCTCCAGCGTACGTTTCTGGTTTGATGCGACACAACTATATTCACGTTCTCTGACCTTGAACCAGTTTCTTGCTCCGTCTTGGACAGACAAACCTATATACGTTTCACGCTTATCCGCACGGAAACAACTCACGCTACCAACCATCGAACAACGTCGTCGAGTACTCGAACTTCTCTCCACACTTTCACCTCACCATACCGCAGAATGCACGCGCAGCTCCCAACCTCTATACGTCCAACAAGTCAGAGAACGCTACAAGTCTCTTATAGGGACCAAGCCTGCTTCGCAGACGTCTTGGTTATCGTCATTTGACTTTGGCAGCTTCGGTGACTCCCAACACGTTCACCTTGCCCCGACAAAAGAACACAAATATTTCTTTGCCATCAACTTGTATAATTCGTTCGATATCATCCCAGATCTATTCGCGACACTCTTTCGGGTCTCCGCAATACTAGGATACCATAATGTGTATGTCTCCATATATGAAAATGGATCGACGGACCAAACCAAGGCGTTACTCCGCATATTCGACGCACTCACGAAGAGCGTCGGGTTGAGGGTGACGATTCGAACGTCAACGAGGATGAGGGGAGCATTCAACCATCGTATCGAATACCTTGCAGAGGTCCGCAACCAAGCATTCAATCCTCTATACGAGCTCAGAGACTCGCACAACGAATATTTTGATACCATCATCTTCATGAACGACATCCTACCTTGTGTGGACGATATCCTGGAACTTATCTGGCAAAGCAGGAGACAAAACGCGGGCATCACTTGCGCCGCAGACTATATGTATCATCAAGAGCTCGTGGGTTTCTCATTCGTTTCTTCGTCCAATCCTCGTTGTCTGACTGAGGTGACTGCCTAGGGATCGCCGGTCTTTTATGACAATTGGGTATCCCGTGATATCAATGGCACAGCATTGGAAAATGCACCCTTCGAGGCTATCTTCCATGACCCCCAGTCCTCTGACCGTTTCCAGATGCATCTCCCCCTGCAGATGCAGGCGTGCTGGAATGGTGTTGCGGTGCTGGATCCCGCACCATTCTATACGCCACCATATGTCCGTTTCCGCATGGCGAAACTGGCTGAGAACGAATGTTCGGCGTCTGAGTGCAGTCTCATCTGTAATGACTACTGGGAGGCTGGTTACGGTCGAGTACTAATGGTGCCTAGAGTGAAGTTGGCATATGACAAGGTGCGCACGAGGAGAATTCAAACAACATGGTTGGGATTGCTCATTTGGACACACAGAAAGTGTTTGATATCATACATCCTCAGAGACGAAATCTGAGTGCTATACGGGCATACGTCCGTCTTGGGGGTCTCCCTGATAACCCACGTACGGATCCTCAAGATCGGTCGTGGTTTGGTCCCCACGACAGACTTTTCACACCAGAGGAAAGCGAGGAGATAGAGTTTGTACCTGGGCCTGAGCATGGTGGGTGACCCTGTGGATCAATACGCTACCGAAGACTGACTGCGCGTGGATTTCAAAGTATGGTGTTGGGGTTGGGATGGAGCAGGCGATATTGATGGTCCTGACGTGGATCCTATATGGGAACCGATGCCAAATCGATCTCAGAGCGAGGGGGCGGTGACGGTGAAGCACCAGAGGTTGATGGATGGGTTGTGAGTAGAGAGAGGTTGGGAAACCCTGCTTAGATCTCTGTCATTATCTAGGTTTAAATCTATGCTGTTGGGTACTTTTTTTCTCCAACTCAACCCCAGTATTGTTATTTTTCTGCAGGAAAACAGAGGCAAGGGCTTTTGGCACAGTTGGTAGCGCGCATGCTTCGCATGGTGATTGCATGAGGTCGTGGGTTCGACTCCCACAGAGTCCATGTATTTTGTCCGCGAAACTTCATTTTGATCCAGAAAATATTGTAATAGGCGCTCGGACCGCGTTTGAGCCGGTTTACTAAGTGTTTTATCATTTCGACGACTTCGCAACCAGCACACGTGTTTCGTCTTCGGCACGCGGTTGACACATGCAACGACGGTCAGGCCTAGCCAAAGGACTTGCACGCATCTCCATTCCGTCCCAACACCGTCTCACCGGGATGGGCGTCGACCCGACGCGTTCACGATGGCACCGACGTTCCTTTGGCGTGCCCAATCGAATATGGGCCCTCATGCTTGCCCTCGTGTCTCTTGTAGTGATATCTCGCCAAGTTCTCTCGTACCACCGACAACCGCAGCAAGTCAGCACTGCTGGACTGGTACCGATAAACTATTTTCACTCGGCCAACTATTTCTCGACCAACTCCTCAGAATGGGATACGTCAAGCAATCCGTTTAATTTTTGTCCAGTTTTTGGACCCGGGGATGACATTGCAAAGAAGTACAACACAATGGCGCTTGCTCAGAGTCGGTTACACCTGGGGAGTGGAGGCAGGGTGCATCGAGTGATTCACAAGGCATTGCTGGGCCAGCCAATCACGATGAGCGTCCTAGGCGGTTCCGGTGAGTCTCGTGCTACGGCACTTTTTGCCACTGTGTCGTCCAACTGATTTGCACTGTCTGGCTAGTGACGGCATGTCATGGTGCTGGTGACGACCCATTATCCCCCTTGTGCTATCCCTCCCTGTTCTTCCAATGGTGGTTGAGCGTGTTTCCACATCCTGCTTCCGAGCTCACCAATGGGGCCATGCGTCGAACGAATTCGGGCTACTTTAGTTTCTGTAGTGCACACCATGTACCCGAGCACACCGACCTCGTGATATTGGAGTTCGACGTCGATGACCCAGCGTAAGTGATACGCGACCTCTCCTGGACTACGCATCCGTTTCTCACCCGCCTTTCGTCAGTGACCAGAGGGGTATGGAATACTTTGAACTCCTTGTTCGCTCGTTGCTCGACAGGCCCGACCAACCTGCTGTCATCATCTTGGGTCACTTCAGCCCAGAAACCCATAATGCACATGGCTTCGCTGGACCAGATCATTGGCATAACATCGTTGCGCAATTTTACGATGTCCCCCACATTAGGTATGTCTTTTGCCTCAGGTTTGGGAAATTGTAGTTACCTTGCCACAGCGTGAAACCCATTCTATACCCCACGTATATGACCGACCCTGACCTCATCAACCCGTATTATGCCGACGCCATCCTTGCAAATTCTGAGGGCCACGTTGTCCTCTCGGATGTCCTGATTTCTTACTTCCAATCTCAAGTTTGCGCTACATGGGAAACAGCTCGCGGTCATTCCTACGAGACGATTCCTCTCGTGCTCGCTCCGGGTTACACTGGGGATACGCATCTTTTTGGTGGCGTTGGTGCCCGGAAAGGTGGGGCAGCGCCTGAGCGCTTCAAGGCCGCTGACGAAAACGCTGCCCCGGAAAAGAAACCTGCACAACCCCCCGCTGCCGATTCCCATTCAGACCCTCTCTACCCCGATCTACGCATCCCACCTGGCCGTATCAATACTCGACCACAGGCATCGCGGCCGTTTGAAGAGCCCGCGCCATACTGTGCGTCTGCCAACGATCTGGTGAACCCTCTACCGCCGTCGATGTTCTATGGTTCAGGATGGCACGCAGCGCACCCTGATCAGGGTGCCTCGCCGTTGCTAACTGCTGGATATTATTGGCATAGTTGGATGCCTCTCAGTACGTTGCGTGTTCAGATCAAGGTCGGTGCGGGAGACGTGGGGATATATTACTTGAAGGAGCCGATCGAAGACATTGGAGAAGGAAGTCAGTTAGAATGTTGGGTGGACGATAACATTCGAGGGGCTGTGATTCTCGAGAATGCAGGCAACGTCGCAACGCCCGTACCCACGTATGTTTTTTTTTTGCGTTGTGCGTGTCGTATGCTCAAATGGTATTGCACTAGACTCGAGATCATCGATCATTTTGTGACGCGGGGAAATCACTTTGTGGACTGTGTTCTGCTAGGTGATGAAGGGCAGGCGGTTCCTTCGTTCAAAATTATCGGCATTTTTGCGACGTGACGAGGCGGGCTACTTGGACCTATTCAACTCTGAGTTGGTTGAATCTCAAAACACTCATAGACGGAACGGACAATCTCAGTCTCATTTGCTACATGCTTGAATACTAGATATTGAAATATCGATCGCTTGAATCTAGGATGCAAAATCGCTGTAGTACTTCGCGTTGAATGAGAGCAGTGTTGTCAATGGGGTTAGGGTATGGTGGCGTGGGAACAATGACGTCTGAATCCTGTGTTCAGCAAGCTGCGGCTCGCCTCTTTATCTGTTTCACGAGCATTGTTGCCTTGGATTTTTTCTTCTTACGCGTCGTAGCTGAACTATGGGTATCAGAAAGGCTCCGCCAACCGGTGCGTTCTTCCTACGTTCGAATTGCTGATTTGCGTATGCCTAGACAGCTAATTGGTTCGCCATAGATGCACCACCGGCGTATCACTATGTTTCGAGGTTCTACGGGAGAAGTCTGAGGCCCATTGTTGTTGCAAGTTCGTCGCATCGTTTGCATCCATGAGTATATACTCATCGTCTAGCGTAGTATCTCTTGTCACCGCTATTTGGGCTCTGGCATGGTGAGCGTCTCTCATTGGTGATAGCCCAAACGAAACCAAATGCTTAAAATCCAACGGATTTCCATTCAGGACTGTATGTCACAGACTTTTGTGCTCGATGTCGTGCCTGTATTGACGAAAGCTCGCTAGGTATCGTCTTTTATGCAGCTCAACCTTGCCAACAGTGGTAGGTTTGCGCATTGAACACACGTGCTCGTAATGACACGTCCGTTTTAGATGGCGTGCCAAAGCTTGCTCCATTGGCAATAGCGCAAGGCGTTATGTTTGCAGTCGCGTGCGCTTTCGAGACATATGGTCTTGTAGCTTCGGTACTGGTAGGTTCCAGGGCTGCTTTATCAGGGATATCGTGATTCACAGTGGCGGTGCAGCAACGATTCACCATGGTCAAGATTTATGCATTCCTGTGTGCGCTGAGTACACTGCTCGTGATTGGAGTCGGAATCATGAGGGTCGTTACCCATTTTGTATTCAAGGTATGGGGATGTTCTTCTAGATTTCTATATTCCGTCGTTGCTCACCGCATGGTAGTCTGATTTGATCACAGAGTGTACTGCCATTGTCCAGACTGGGACTGGATCAATTAGCTCGGTGGGTGTCTGAGACTATTGTACTCGGTATGGCTGATAGACACCCTCCAGGTTTTTGGAATTTGGGGTTCAAATCCGACGGATAATCTCAATCAGACCCAAGCTGCGCAATGTGAGTTTCCGATATTTATCTTGTCCTGCCAAAGATGTGACACATGCTAGACTGCGATAGTGAATGGAACCATGATTCCTGGGCAGAAATTATAGCCCTTCTCCTCGAGATCGGTAGGCAGTGTTCTATTCTGAAATGCACAAAGATCTAATCATCCTTGGACCAGTCCTTGGATTATTCTTCACGTCCATCGCATTCGCGTACTATCGGCAATCGCTGGATCCCAGTAGCCTCGCCAACTCCTCCCGCTTACCGTCAAACCAAGGGCGCCAGGATGGCTATCCAACACACTACAACCCACCGTATGATGAGACTGCCTACCTGCCAGTCTACCTACCACCAGCAGGTGCACCTCCCAGCGATGGCAAGCCACCAGAATACAAACGCGCTTCGTATGTGTCGTATGCGGGGGACAAGGATGCTAAAGAGGACGACCCCTTCTCTGATTATGATGGCCCGAGCGTACCGATGCCGACCCATTGGGTAGAGGACCGGGACGTCACTTCACCGTTACGGGTTTGAGACTGATAGATACTTTTATTCTATTGCTTGCAGTTTGATCGGACAGTTCCTTCTTGTACTATTGATGCTGCCTACACTATGACAGAGACGAATCTCAAACGACCGTATTATGCATATCATCCTCCACGGAGGTTCATTTTGTTCAATGGGATGGAGTGAATTGTACATAATGGATTGTTGGAACATGCACTGACAAGAACTACAGTGATCCCCGGTCACTTGTAAAACATGTCACCTCAATATACTTCTTGCTAGCATGTCCTTTTTACATATTATAATAGATATATGAGCTACTCTCAAGTGTGCTGAACCACAGACTCAGCGTAAACTTTTTTCGAAGGCACATTTTTTGACTGGCTCAAGTGCCAGGGGTGTGTCAGTTTCAGGGGCTAACCCTATGAGTTGATCCTTGCTCAACTACACCTCACTGAATGCTCTCCGAAAATATCACAGTGTCAGTCTCTTCACATATACCTCATCATGAGGGTCAAAGCACTGTGCAAAAGCAATTGTTGTTGTGTTTTAATAGCGTCTGAAAATGGGTGTGGCTCAAGTGACCGGGGATCACTGTATATGAAGTCGTGTAATATTGACTAAATTCGTACGTATAACGCATGGTGGATATACAATCACGTCGATGAGCCTCCCTAGTAGGAGGCATCAACTCAAATTTCCTCGTTCTTGTTCTTCGCCGCCTCTTTTTCGCACTCGGACTTGTGCCTCTTCCAATCCGCTTTCTGGCACGATGTCCCACAGTACGAGACGGCCTTACACCTGCATGTATATGAATACAGTGAACGTTGGCATTTGGACTCACCGAGCACATGCTTTACTAGCACCTCCCCATTGGAACAGCCTATCCTCGACAACAGGGTCTCTTTGCCCTCGAACCCGGGATGCCTTGAGCTTCAACAAGGCGCTCGTCTCTGGGCAACCAGTATACCGACACCCATAATACCAAGTCGATAAAAGGTCCCACCGGCCAGAGATGGTCAGAATCATCCACCCATGACGTCTCCTCGTTGCGTTGGGCACGTTGCGGTATTTCTTCAATAGCGGAAGCCACTCTGCAGCGGATTGGAATTTTTCGGGTTTTTTGCTGA